TGTGATGGACTGGAGACCTGTCCATGTGTCCCTGTGATAGACTGGAGACATGTCCAAGTGTCCTTGTGATGACTGAGACATGTCCAGGTGTCCCTGTGATGGACTGGAGACCTGTCTAGGTGTCCCTGTGATGGACTGAGACCTGTCCAGGTGTCCCTGTGATGGACTGAGACCTGTCCAGGTGTCCCTGTGATGGACTGAGACCTGTCCAGGTGTCCACCGCCTCTCCCACAGTGACTCGTGACCAGAAAAGGAAGAAGCGGATAAGGATGATAGAAAGATGGATGGATGGATGATAAAAATCGTCTGGCATCAGTTTGAGCTGCAGTCAGGACGAGACATGAGACCAGACCTGAGCTCTGCAAACTCACCACCAGAACCAAACCACAACCAGGAGGCCTCAAACACAAAACAGAGTAAAGATGATAAAGTTACAGAACTAAGGTCAAAAAATAACATCTGCTCCAACTGGAAACTCATTTTCACCTCTGATTTGAAAACGGTTCTTCTGCCATGGGGGTGTGGCCTAACTTTACATCCAATGAGACCGCTTATTTACTAACCTGAGTGTGGGTGGAGCCTAATCAGACCAGTGTAGTTGACCAATGATGGCAGACTTTAACAAAATAAACTTGCAAAAAATATCCAGAGAAGATGTTTATAAGTTCAACTAAGAAACCTAAAAGTTCAGTTCAGGAAGGTCGTGTTTGTAAATATCTCAGTGTCGTAGAGCAGGACTTCACCTTCAGGACTCTGAACGTTGATTGATGACCTCATTTCTCTGCAGCCTCCTCAGCAGACATGGAGCGTACCTTCATTGCCGTGAAGCCCGATGGCGTCCAGAGAGGACTGTGTGGTGAGATCATCAAGCGCTTCGAGCAGAGAGGCTTCAAGCTGGTCGCTGCCAAATTCGTGCAGGTAACCATGGCAATGATGAACACCTGTATGTACCTTAGTGAAGGAACAGAGGATGTCTTTTCATTCAAAAACTTCATTTCTTGTTAAACTTGTACTGAATGGCTGATTCACTTGGTTTTTGAGTGACCCCCTTTTCCTGGTTTGTTTTCAGGCCTCTGAAGACCACATGAAGAAGCACTACCTGGACCTGAAGGACATGCCTTTCTACGCAGGACTCTGCAAATACATGTCCTCTGGACCAGTCTTCGCCATGGTAACACAAACACCACCTTCTGCTTTTAGCTCTTTCCGTTGTGTCAGCCGGTCTCTTCACACCAGCTGGGTCTCAAGGACTCTGCTGGTTTTAGCCCCTCACACCTTGGACCCGCAGAGACCAGGTGTTATTTTTAGCTGTCTCAGGGAGACAGAATCTAAACTGAGTCCACAGGACTGACGTGAGTTTTTGTCTCCTAACTGGTTTGAAGCTGGTTTCATTTTGAAAGGGTCTGAGATCCCACTCTGGCTGAAGGGATCCAGGAACCTGTCGGGGTCTCCCTGATCTTCAGAAACCAGTAAACAGGAGCAGAAACCATCTCTTGGACCCACGAGGTTCACACAGTCTGTTTTTTTAAACATCTGATGATTTTAGTCGCGGATGTTTGAAATTGAAACTCTGACCTGATCTGGATCTGAGCTGACTGGTCTGCTGCTGGGTCCGATGGTCCAGAAGAATCCAGACTTCTGGTTCCTCCCACATGACCACAGGGGGGGTCGGTTTGTGTCTTTCAGGTTTGGGAGGGTCAGAACATCGTGAAGCTGGCCAGGATGATGCTGGGTGAGACCAACCCCGCTGACTCCAAGCCCGGCAGCATCCGTGGAGACCTGTGCATCAACATCGGCAGGTGAGGAACCCACCACAACAACGACAAACAACAATGACAATAACAACAAAAACAACGATTACAATGACAACAGCGATGACAACGGCGACGACAACGACAAAAAAAATGATAATGACGACAACAACTACAACAACCTCAACAACAACGTCAACAACAACAACGGTTCACTGCAGGACGTTAACCCTGAAGTTGCATCTGCTCCTCACATCAACAGCAGATTATTAAACAAACAAACAAATCTTCAGCGCGTTTGGTTCAAAACAAACAACAAAATGATTTAATTGTGAAAAATCAGGATATTTTATTAAAGAGAACATTCAGCAAATATTGCAGATGATTCAAACATTTTATCAGAAAATTAACTTTGATTTTTCAATTTTCAGAACTAAAACATCAGAAAACTTTAAAAACCTGAGATTAATAAATAAATCAGAACTAAAGTTTCTGAGAATTAAAGTATTTATGTAAAAAAAAAACTCCGAAAATGTAAATTTAATGTAGCCAAAAATAAGAATTGAATTTATGTAGTAAGAATTTATAATTTAAAAAAATTACAAGAAAAATAAATTCTGAAAATAAATAAATATAATTTAAATTCTGCACTTTTCCTTAAATGATGTGATAAATGAAAAATTTTAAAGTCATATATTGAATATTGTAAAACATTTTATCTCAATAAAAATAAAAGTCTAAAATGGTTTTAAAATGTAATAAACAACCTGTTTAATTAATAACAAGTCATACTCATAAAAGTCATTGATCAGTTAATATTCATGCATTAATTAATTATGTACATCAGTCAATAAGGAAACTTTAATTAGTAATTAGGTCAATAAATCTGTCACTGATTTAACATTAATTATTCACCAATTAAAGAATCATTAACCAGTCAAACAGTGATTAGTAACCAGTTAATAATGACATGATAATAAATAATTAATGTGTTAATAAATAGATCAGTTTTTAATCGATCGGCCTCTGGTCTCGTCTCCTCAGGAACATCATCCACGGCAGCGACACCCTGGAGAACGCCAAGTTGGAAGTCGACCTGTGGTTCAAGGCCGAGGAGTTCGTGAACTGGGCCCCCTGCGCTCAGACCTTCCTGTACGAGTAAACCCCGCCTCCCAACATAAACCACGCCCACTCGTTCTGACTCCGCCCACTCTGCAGCCGATCCTCTGACTTGGTTTTTTTCAATCAAACGCAACATGATCAATAAAGTTTCATGTTAACAGTTTGTGTGTGTTTAATGAAGAGAACCCAGGTCTAAAGAGGTCTGGGTCAGAACTTCTCTGGGTCCAAGATAAGACGAAATAGAACTTTATTGATCCCACAGGAAACTGTTGTGCCAGAGTTTCAGTACAAAGGAACATACACAAGATATAAAAAAATAACAGATATAAAAATACCAACATTAACATCTTAAACAGGTGCAGACAGAAACATTAAAGTGTTTATTGTGGTGCAGGATTAATTTATTGTGCAGAAAGGGGGAGGAGTTGAACAGTTTGAAGGACTTCCTGTGTTGTTCTGTGGAGCACCTCGGTGGTCTCAGTCTACGACTGAAGGTGCTGCGGTAAGAGTCCAGTGTGTCATGCAGGAGTTGTGACATGTTGTTCAGGATCTGGAGCAGATTCCTCTGCTCAGACACCTCTGTCAGAGACTGCAGGTCCACTCCCAGAGCTGAACCAGCTCTCTTCATGAGCTTATTGAGTCTGTTGGCATCAGCTTTCTTCACCCTGCTGCCCCAGCACACCACAGCATAGAAGTAGACGCTGGAGACCACTGAGTGGCAAAACATCTGCAGCATGGTCCTGCAGAGACCACCGAGTGGTAAAACATCTGCAGCATGGTCCTGCAGATGTTAAAGGACCCGAGTCTCCTCAGAAAAAAAAGGCGACTCTGCTCTTTCTTATAGAGGGCACTGGTGTTAGCTGTCCAGTCCAGTTTATTGTCTAGGTGGACCCCCAACCAAAAATAGGTTGCACCATTTGTTGTCAACATAGATCGCGACCCCCCACCTGCACACAGTGAAAGCCAGTCAACTCCACTGGAGAGTCGAGTATATTGTCACAAAGCTAAGTCTCCGTGAAACACATCACTGAAGCCTCCCAAAACAAACGCTGGCTCCTCCTGGGTGCCGCTAGTTCGTCCATCTTATTAAACAGCAAGCGGACAGTCCCCATAATAATAATAATAATAATAAGAAGAAGAAGAAGAAGAAGCCTGGAGAGACTACGTCTCTCGGTTGGCCTGGGAACACCTTGAAATCCTCTCAGAAGAGCTGGAAGAGGTGGCTGTGGAAAGAGATGTCTGGGCCTCCCTGCTCAAGATGCTGCCCCGCAACCCAACTTCGGAACAAGCAGAAGATGATGGATGGATGGATGGATATTAGATGGAAGGTATGGTTTATACTTCCTCTTCTCCAGACGCCATCTTTTTCCTGCTCTGCATTCCCAATGTTTCCTTTTGAGCTCCTCAGGGATTTCATGTTTCTGGCCAAAGACTCGGCTGTGTTGGAGACTGATCAGCTGCTTCCTGGTGTAAACAATGACGCCCAGCGCACGTCCAGAAGGATGGGGGGTCCTCATGCTAAAAAGTACTCCAAACATGATTAAAACCCGGATAAAAGTACAGAAAAAAATGTCATAGTTGTACTTCCCACAGAAACGACACCGTACAGTGCAAGTGGTTTGAAATAGCATAAAAACAATAAACAAGAATAGCAGAAACTCTGGCAGGCAGCCGCTCGCAGGCAGCCGCTCGCAGCAGCCGCTCGCAGGCAGCCGCTCGCAGCAGCGCACTGCATGACTGAGTCTGACCTGACTCGGAGTTTAGGAGCTTATCCTGTCGGAGAGAGGTCAGAGATAAAAACATTCCCTTAAAATGTTCAGTTGGAAGAACTGAAACCGAGAGAAAGTCTGAAGAACCGCTGGGTTTTGGATCGGGGGTTCTGGATTTGTTATGGAGCAGCGACTACTTCCTCAGGCAGCTGAGACGAGATGGACTGGGAAGCTCAGTCCTCACCTCCTTCTACAGGTGTGCAGTGGAGAGCATCCTGTGCTCCAGCATCAACGTGTGGCATGGAGGCTGCACAGCTGCAGAGAGTAAAGCTTTGCAGAGAGTGGTGAAGGCTGCACAGAAGACTGTTGGAGTCAGTCTCCCCACCATCACAGACATCTACACCTCCAGATGCAGGAAGAGGGCCACCTGCATCATGAAGGACACCACTCACCCAGCACAAACACCTTTTGCCCCGCTCCTTTATTGTCATTCTCATCACATGTGGTACATGTGGTGGAACAAAATTGTGTACACAGGGTCTCCGTTACATCCAACAAAAGTATAAATTGTAAAGAAAAACAGTAATAAAATCTAAGATATGAAATAAGAAATGTGCTAAACTAAAAATACACTAAGCACTGGTAGTACCAAAACAATACACCGAACAGCAGCACGAACATGAGTCTGTGTGAGCAGATGAGAACAAATGAACACAGCAACATGAAACAGATCAGCAGCAACATGATGTGATTTTTCAGTGATAATCTTGATTAGAATTTTGTGAGTCTAACAGCCTCAAGGTAGAAGCCGTTCCTCAGTCTAGTGGTTCTACACTTAATGTTCCTCAACCTCCTGCCTGAGGGAAGCAGGATAAAAAGTGTGTGTGCTGGGTGAGTGGGGTCCTTCATGATGCATCATCATCATCAACTTTATTCATAAAGTGCTTTAACAGTAGGCAGAGCTGAAACAAAGTGCTGAACATCAGTTAAAAACAAGATAAAAGAAAGCATAAAAACAAAGCTACAAACCAAGCACACGGTGAACTAAAAACTCAACATAAAACACAATAAAAGGACGAGGTAAACAGATAAAATCAATACCAATAAAAATGATGTAAAATCAAGTCTGAGTTGGGTTGAAGGCCAATGAGTAGAGTCGAGTTTCCAGACGGGTTTTAAACATGGACAGTGAAGGGGCCTGTTGAACTTGCAAAGGCAGAGCGTTCCATAACTTAGTCCTAGTGTGAGTAGTTTGTCCATCAGGGTTTGGGGGATCACGGTGTTGAAGGCAGACGTGAAGTCCACAAAGAGCATACGGACGTAGGAGTCCTTCTGCTCCAGGTGGGTGAGAGCAGTGTGGACCACAGAGGAGATGGCATCCTCTGTTGATTGTGGTATGCGTACTGGTGAGGGTCCTGAGTATGTGAGGGGTTCTGGAGTTATATTGTCCAAATTTGTCTTTGTCTCTCTCTCTGTCTCTCTCTCTCTGTCTCTATCTATCTATCCATCTACTGTATCCATCTATCCATCCTTCCATCCATATATCCATCTACCTTATGGATCAGGAGTTTTCAGGTTTCATGAACCTCATGAGGACCGACAGAAACCCTGATGACACTCAGGAGGGAGGGGAGGGGAGGGAGGGAGAGTGATTTGCTGTGAGTTCAGCTGCCTTCAAAACTTAAAAAAGTTTATTTGGTAAATAAAAAATTGATCATTTAATAAAAGGGACAAAAATATAAGCAAACAAATGGTTGTAAAAAACCTCCTAAATTCTTTTGCAATAAGATTTTATTAATAAAATGTAAAGTTAATTCATCTTACATGAATATTTTTCACAATCATGCTGCCAAAAGAAAATATAAAACTTTAATCAGATTTCTGTTTTGAACATTTTTAACGTTTGTTTGCATCAAGCTTCACATCAGCACAAACATTTACAAACATTTAGTCCTTTTTTTAAAAAGTGGTTTTATAAAAACACCGTTTAATACGAAGAAAAGTTTTTTCTGATATGAAATGAGTCGAAGCTGCCGAACGAATAAAAGTTTAATTATTTCTTTTATCAGGTAGAAGTTATTGTTCCTGGAGCCACAGATTAACGGACAGAAGAACAAATTAGATTAAATTAATTAATTTTATGAGCAGACTCAAAAAATTTTTTTTTTTTATAAAAACACAAGACGAGTTTATAAATAAATTTCCTGACAATCTTCAGGATGAAATAATCCCAGATTTTATTTTAGCTTTTAACTTTCAGGAATAAACACTTATTTGCTTTTGGATTATTTTGTTCATTAGACTTTTATTTTTTTTACTTTAGGTTGGTCGTTTTATCTGTTCTTGACGTTCTTTTAATCTTTGACGGACAAACAGGGACGATAAACAAACATCAAACTTTACAGTAAATTCTACGAGACATTTCTGTCATAGTTTCATTTCCTCTGTGAATAAATTAAATTATAATTCTGATAAACTTCAGTTTTACTGAAGATGTTAAATCAAACACAACTTTTACACGGTTTGAAATAATCTGATAAATTTTGTTTATTTTTTGTGTTTTTGTTCCGTTTTAATCCGGTTTGATGAGGTAAACACGTTTGACGTTCTTTTATAAATCTGAGCGAACTGATGGTTCAGTCAAAATAAAACTTCGTTCTCCACCTTCGTTTTTGAAACTCGGTGAAAATATTTGAACAAAACGAGCAGAAAATCCTTCCGGTTCGATCCTCGAATTTCTCCTTCACAGAATGTTTTTTTTTTTTAATCGAACTTAAACACAGGAGCAGAAATTTTTTTTAAATATACAAACTCTGTTGAAGAAAATGCTCCAAACTGAAGAGAAGCTGGGCGATGGTCTGCGTTTATGATGTTAAAAAGAGACGACGGTTTGTCCACGCAGCACCTGAACGCATCACATGAACACGAACACATCACAAGAGTTCTGACTTTAACACCAACAAACTGAATCGAATCTTCAGTCCACGTCCTTTGCTTCGTGCCGACTCGACACTCGAAAGATAGTTTTTGTTCAGGTGGAGGTAAATGATCCTGAACTCATCACAGTTTCAATCGTTTCGCTCCAAAACAGAAGAAAATGTTTCACTGATCTTTGCTGGACAGGAAGTCTGCCGACGAGCCGTTTGTTTCTGCTCCCACTCTCTGATACGAAGGCTTCGTCCGGCTGCTGTCCTCCACCGCCGCCTGCAGACCTGAACACACAAAAGGTTCTGATCCGTTCAGCAGAAAACACCTCCAAGTCCGAAACATGTGATCCTTCACTGAACGCTGCTTAAAGATTAAAACGTGTTCCTCCATCTGAGTCTGAGATGCACGAGTCCATCAGCTGGTTCTCAAAAACAAACGACTGTCCGGCGGACAACACTGCAGGTGGCGCCACACAACAATACATGACAGGAAGAAGAGACTAAAACCACAAAAGGAGTGATTATATTTCATGTCGGCGAGAGTTGGAAGAGTTTATGCTCTTATAAACGGACTACCTGTCCTAAAGGGAATTCTTGTCAAAATAAAATTGCAGCACCATGGCTCAGTGGTTAGCACTGTTGTCTCACAGCAAGAAGGTCCTGGATTCAATCCCCGATTGGACCTGGGGTCTTTCTGTGTGGAGTTTGCATGTTCTTCTTATGCTTGCGTGGGTTTTCTCCGGGTACTCCAGTTTCCTCCCACAGACCAAAAACATGCATGTTAGGCTGCCTTCAGGTCCAGGCCTCCCTTGTGAAAGAGATCTGTGATCTCAATGGGATTTGCCTGGTTAAATACAGGTTAATAATAAAAGTAAAAAAGAATAAACAGTCATGTGACAAACTAGCTTGTAACTGACTTACTTCCTGTTTGAGCAGTACTTGTCTCATCACTTCCTGTCCCATTCTGTTCTGTCTAATCACTTCCTTTTTGAGTGCTTCCTGTCTCATCACCTCCTATCCCATTACATCCTGTCTAACTACTTCCTGTTTAAGCACGTCCTGTCTGAACACATTTTGTGTGACCACTTCCTGTCTAAACACGCCAGTCTCATTACTTTCTGTCTGAACGCTTCCTGTTTTAACACTTCCTGCCTGAACACCTCCAGTTTGAAAACTTCCAGTCTAATCACTTGCTGTTTGAGTGCCTCTTGTCTGAACACTTCCTGTCTCATTAGTTCTGTTTTCAGAACTTCCTGCTTGAGCACTTCCTGTTGTGTAGCTGTGTGCACATACAAGTGATATGCGTTTACCTGCTCCCCGTTCAGCGTCTGGGTCAGCGGAGGTCAGCTGGGCGGCGGAGGCCGGTGGAGAGGGTGATGGGTAATCGGGCGGAGTCTCGTTCTCGTCTCCTGATAGGCTCCTGAGGACTCCTGTTCCCATGGCAACAGAGAGGCTGACTGGTCGCCTAGCAACGGGTAACTTCCTCTCTGCAATGAAGATTTAACCAACAGGTGTTCAGACGTTCTAAATTGTTTTCTTCTGTAGAACTTTAAGAATTTTTAGGTGAAACATTTCAAAATAAAAACACAAAACACATTTTACTGCAACAGAAGAAACCAGGACAGATGGGACATACTCTTCTTCTGTCCTCTGTACTGCTGAGACTTCCTCCTCTGTTTGGATGCTGCAGACTGCAGGTCTCTGAACCCTGAAACAAACAAAGTCCTCAGAGACCGTGGCTCGCCTGTTCCCCGCCCAGAAAGCCCAGCTCCAGTGATGTGTACCTGTGTTAATGGCAGGAGGCTGAAGCTGGTACCCAGTCAGCTGACACCAGCCCACCGGGTACAAGTCTGGGGATTCACAGTCCACCCACTGGTCATACTCGTCCTCCCAGCCGTCGAAGTGGATCCGCAGCAGCCGGTGGACAATGCGGGTCACTGTGGCGACACAGACGAGCCGAGGCTCCATGAGGTCCACGGCCTCCAGCTTCATTCCGGGAAGGAAACCGTGGTTCGGGACTTCCTGTTGGGACAGATGTCAACATGTTTAATTTTCTTTAAAGGCAACTTCAACGGCTCAGAGGATCATTTTTAAACATGTCAAAAATAATAAACCCTACAGTTAAGGAAACTGGAAATCTCACCTCCCTCACACACACACACACAAAGAAAAGATCAGTCCATAAGTCCTGTGAGCTGGGTAACGAAAAATAAGTCAGGTACCAACTTCCATGTTGGTGTGTGGATGTATATATCTATTGATCAATAGCTAGATATATGTAAACCGATCACTTCTATCATTTAAGGATAGGCTTGTCACTAAAGAGGGCGAGATGGACTTGTACCGATTGACGAGACAGAGGGATCAGGGTGGAAAGGATGTGCAGCAGGTTAGGCTTGTTAAAGATAGGAATGATAATGTTCTAACAAGTGAGGAGAGTGTGACGCGAAGATGGAAGGAGTACTTTGAGGAGCTAATGAATGAAGAGAATGAAAGAAAAAGAAGAGAAGAGGTCATACCAAAAAAGTCCATGCTCAATAATCCAGGTATACAATCCAACAATTTTCAGTCAGGTCATCTGGACTGTTTCTTTTTTTGCTGAAACATTTCACCTTCCATCCAGAAGGCTTCATCAGTCAAGGAAACACACAACACAAAACTGATTCTTCCCCCCCAAAGCAGCTTACTCCAAAGTGGAACAAACCAGTTATGTTGGTGCTAAGATGGTGTCTCTGGCACACCCCCTCCTCCGTTGCCAGCCCTCTTCCTCGTCGACAGTCATGTCAAACTGATGAAGCTTTCCGGATGGAAGGTGAAATGTTACAGCAAAAAAAGAAACTGTCCAGATGACCTGACTGAAAATTGTTGGATTGTATACCTGGATTATTGTGCATGGACCTTTTTGGTTTTGAACCCCCCCTGTGGCTCCTCCGTTGCACCTGGGGGTGGATAAAATGTCTCCCTCCACTCTCCAGGATCAGTCACTCTGCGCTGCCTCGGACAAGAAATAAAAACCTCCATGTTCTTCTCCACAGTGGAACTTCGTCCACTTGAATATCTTGCAGCAAAAACATTTAGGTTCACTTCATTCTGTTTAATTCCAGTCCAGCAAAACACTCATCTCCAGAACTACAAACATTTACTATTCAAACCTCAGGGACATCAGCTTGTACAATTAGTTTTAAACAGAAATGTTCAGTTACGCTGATGACACTCTGCTATTGTTAACAGTGAAGGTATAAAGATGGACTGCCAGACTGGACATTTCTCCTGGAGGTGTGTGGACCTCACCTTGTTGAAGAGGTTGACCGGCGCAGCCACAGACTTGCTCTCCTTCAGATACTCGAACCACCTGAAGGGCAGACTGCAGTAACCTGACAAACCAGAATAGGATGAGTAGAACTGTTCTCTGGTGTCGTCGTGAAAATGTCAGGTGATTTCTGGAGCTTCAGAGCCGACGGATGAATGAAACTGAAGAGTCCACTTTTTCTAAACGTGTCTGGATTTTCCTACGCAAGATTTTATAGAACCATCCCAGATACTCAGAACATATCTAGGATTTTCTTAAACACGTCATGGTTTTATCAAACATGTCATATGGCGTTCATTATGGTCCCTCCCCCAGCGGGGCGGAGCTTTCTCCGTACCTCTGGGGGGCGTCAGATCAATGTTGTTGATCTCACAGAACCCAGCAGGGAAGATGGACGGAGACATGGAGTGATAGCAGAACCAGTCCGAGCCGTCGGCCGCTTCCGAACCGTCAATGCCGATCATCAGATACCCGTCTGCCAGAACCTGATGACGAGAGGTCAAAGGTCACACAGAACCGACGCAGTTCCTGACAGTGGTGAGGGGTTGGCTCACCTTCCTAACTGTGGCCACACAGATGGCAGACAGGTTCAGAGGGTCGATGGCCTCCAGCTTCATCCCGTCTTCAAACCAGGGTCCGCTCTGATCCACCTCCTTCACCTGCAGGAAGTGACATCAGCCCTCAGGTTTCCAAACCAAACCAAAGGAGGCACAACCATCAGGTGATTCCAGGTGTTCTACTGCCCTCGTGAGGTGGAAATGTGAACCAAACACTCGGATGTTAGTTAATGAGGACATTGTTCAGTAAAGTAAAACCTTAACAGGAAGTGTATTTTATTAAAACAAATGAAAACATTATTGCACAGGTGAGGAGATAATGATCAACATTTTAAAACAAACTTCTTCCAGCTGCAGGCGAGAGAAGTTCAGGTGATGCTCACCTTCACAAACAGCTGTCCAGGTGCGTCTGTCTGCCCATCCAGCTTCTTCGTCACATCTGAAAACAAACACACAACTTCAGCGTCGGTCCTTCTTCTCGCCTTGCAGACCCTCACGGTACCGTCTGACCCACCGGATCGTTTGAAACGGTGCCCGATGGACCGAGACCAGCCCACGCTGTGGATCAGCGGGCTGTGCATATGACACCAGAAGTCATCGGAACCGTCATCGCACTCCTCGTACACGAGCCGCAGCCGACCGCCGATCACCTGCGACAAGACCACGGTCAGGAGGAGCTGAGCCGAACCAGAACCACGATGGTCCAACTGACATTCACCTGCTCAACCAGAGCCACACGAGTCCGACACAGATGGGTCTTATCCACCACCTCCACCCTCATCAGCTTCTTGAAGGGAAACTGCATGCTCTCCTGCACCTGGAGGAGCAGATATACTGATGCTCATTAGTTGATTTTTGATATCTTTTTACTTTTGTCAGTTTCAAGTCATTTCAGTCACATTAGTTAGTTTTCTTTCTTTAATAATAATAATAATAATAATAATAATAATAGTATAATATAATAATAATAATAATAATAATAACAATAATAATAATAATAACAATAATAATAATAATAATAAATGTATGAACACGTGTTTGTCTGTGACTTTAAAAAATCTTCCTGCTGAAATAAGAACGTTTACCATTTGGCCCCGCCCACATCATTTAGTATAACTGTCAATCACTGGTGTCTCAGTGAGTCGTTTTTGTTTAGCTATATAATTTAAAATCTGTTGGACGTTGTTAAAAAATGTGTAAATTTCACAAAATGACACATTTTATACAAAATGGCCGACTTTTTGAAGCATTTAGTTCAAACAAGTTTTTCTTGTGGGTCATGAGAGGTAAAATGTGTACAGTACACATTTTCTCAAGTCTTGTTTACAGCGGGGGCGGGACAAAAGTATTAAATATGTTCAGGGGGAGTGGTTTTATATAATTAGCCACACCCAACATATTTGTAGGTGTGGCTTAACTGGAATAAGTTTAGCCCTGGCCTGAGAAAATTTGTGCAGATTGGATAAAATATGTAAGATTTACACGAACATTTAATGTTGTGATGAAATACTGCCAAAGTCACGCTCACCTGCAAACAGTTATCCAAAAGTAGCAAAACGCTAGCTAATAAAGGGAGTACCAATAGGCTAGCTAGAAGCTAAAAGTAACTAAAGGTTGTCTAAAGGCTAAAAGTTGCAAAAAGCTAGCTAAAAGCTAAATATATCTGAAGTTTGGCTCAGAGGTCAACGTAGCAAAAGACTGGATAAACGGAGCCAAAGCTTAGCTAAAACTTTAACCTTCAAATTTAGTTTCTGTGTCACCTTGGATGAAAAGTTCAGCGGCAAAGTTTTAGATCCCGTCAGTCGTTTGATGAGGAAAGTCTTCCAGTTGGTGAACCTGTGCAGAATACCTGAGGACAGACAGAACACCTGCTTTCATCAGCCAATCAGAGGACAGACAGACAGAACACCTGCTTTCATCAGCCAATCAGAAGACTCCATTTCTTATTTTGTTTCAACTTTGTTTAAAATTAAAAACCTACTTTTAAACTAAATGTAGCTGAAAGTTTGGATTGCTGAGGTTCCAACATTTCAATCAGAGCAAATGTGGAATGATGGGCGGAGCCTAATGGCGCTTTGCCACAGTTTCAAATCATCGACTCCACCCCACACCGCACCAGTTAAGGGCCTCTCCACTGTCGGTACCACCCCACTCAGCCCGGTTCATGGGCCCACCTTCTTCGTGGTTCCAAGCGGGCAGCTCCGAGGGGAAGATCTTGACATAAGGAGACAGCAGCCGTTGACTGTCCAGCGGAGATACATCACTGGATGACTTGCCTAGCAAAACTGCAAACTACACATGAACCTCCACTTCCACATTGTGTTGATGGACGGCGCCACAAGAAATGAGCTCATTTACTGAGAGACATCAGCGACGATGGCAGCATGGCTACACACGGACTGATGAGCAGTGCAGAGATAAGCTAAAGTAGTTGGAGTTCGATTATAGGGAGATTAAGGACCACAACAGGTGGAGTGGCTCGAACACAATGACCAGTTATGATCTCGCCCACTTTACATTGACGATTCCACCCACAGCGTGGGGAAACAGGTGACAAATCACCTCCACCTGAGAAGAATCAAGAAGATGAGAGCCAGGTGGAACCGCACTCATCGATGGCAAAGCAGCATAACTGAGTCAATGAAACTGTCCAATCAAAGTTCATGCTCAATAATCCAGGTAAAAATCCAACAATGTTCAGTCAGGTCATCTGGGTGGTTTCTTTTTTTGCTGAGTCGTTTCGTCCTTCATCCAAAGGACTTCTTCAGCCTGAGGGGCCACCAAACAAACTGATTCCCACAAACAGCTCACTCCCATAGTGGGAAAAAAACAGTTTGCTGGTGTGCCATACACTTTAGAGTGTGCTGTTTGTAGGAATCAGTTTGTTTGGTGGTTCCTCAGACTGAAGAAGTCCTTTGGATGAAGGACAAAACGTCTCAGCAAAAAAGCCACCGTCCAGACCAGACAGCCTGACTGAACATCATTGTCCAGTCAGAACAAGCTGCAGGAACGGTTCTATGTGAAGCGAACCCAACGGTGGAGGCTGCACAACCAGAACAGCTTCATGTTAGTAAAATCGTCCGTTTGTGTTATTTTCACTTCATATTTTAATATTTGTGAGTAGAGGAGTGCTGGCGAAGAGGTTAGAGAAGGTGGGCCTGTGAACGGAAGATTGCCGGTTCAACTCGCGGTATCGACAACATCAAAATGTGGGTGGAAGAGGTGAAGCACCCACACCTGCCTCCACCCTCATTTGCCCCACTCTGGGCCCTTGAGCAAGGCCCTTAACCCCCACCATCTGCACCCCGGGGCGCCCTAGATGGCAGCTCTCTGCTCCACACAGAGGGCTGTGGTAGCTCGGTGGTCTGTGGTTGTGTCAAGAAGGACATCTGGTATAAAAATAATTGGCAAATCTTCGTGCAACTTAGTTTGCTGCGGCAACCCCCGAAGAAGGAGCAGCTGAAAGAGAAAAAACAAAAAAATATATTTGTGAGTAAACTGGGAAGCATCTCTTACTCTGAGGGGGGACCAGAGGTTTTCCTCCAGCTGCACACCAGCCGACAGGGTGGATGTCAGGAACGCACAGGTTCAACCAGAAATCTCTGGTGACGTCGCTGTCGAAGCCTTCGTAACGCAGTAAGGCCTTAAAACCTGCAGAACCACACGTTACAAGTCAGGTTCCTTGAAAAAGAACTGGAGGTTACCGGACTGCAGGAGCTGGATGACAGCACAGAAAACATCGTCAGGCAGGACGACATCGGTACCACGGGTCGTATGTCGTGTCCCAGTTCTGGTTCCTATCTGCTTACCAGCCAGTTTGATGATGCTGGCAATCCAGTAAACCTTCATGGGTAGACCGCTGTCAGTGTTCAGGACTTCGACCCGAACTCCTTCGCTTATGTCGTCCCATGACTTCCCCATCGGGACCTGAAACAAACAAAACAACAACGTCAACATAAACAAACTGCAGACACACACACAGAACCCGCTGGCGTGTCATCTAACAGGACGGAACAGATCAACCACAGCTCAGATCCATTCCTTACACGATCAAACGTCATCGTTAAAGGTCGATCTTTTTAAAGAAACAAAATCTTCAGTCGTTCTTCTTCGCATCTCTTTTATTCTGTTTGTTGGAACATAAAGAATCTGGAACAATCTGCAGTAGTTAAGAGTTTCTGCTGAGCTCACATGTTTGAAGCAGCTGACCGGCGCTCCCGTCACGTCTCCATCTCCGAGGTAACGGCCCCAGTCGAACATGTCCACAGGGACTGAAGGACAAAGACATGGACAACCTCAGACAGGACGTAGACTACAACTGAAGCAGCTCAGGATGAGTTAAAGACACGGAGACCAGCAAGTTCTAACAACCACAAGTTAAACTGGGACTAAACTAGAAGTTAAACTGGAACTAACCCAGGAGTTACAACTGTGACTAAACTAGGAGTTAAACTGGAACTAACCTAGGAGGTTAAACTGCAACTAAACTAGGAGCTAAAGTGGGACTAAACTGTGACTAAACTATGAG